TTGATTCCAGACCACTCAGTGCAGCAGGCCAGCCTCACTTACCTTGGTAAATCACTAGTTTCCTTTGATGAAGTTACTCACTGCTTGGGTAGAGCTCCCTCACAGATGTGCCCAAGCATCTTCCAGAGAGCACTGACTGATGCAGACTGGTGCTAGGGAGGGAGTGTGAGGAAGAGCTCATCCCACAAGTCCCATTAGCCATCCAGTGTAGATGCTCTTGGTTAAGCATGTCAGCATGTGGTTGTGGTGTAGGGAGCTCTTAATAGGTTTCCCTGATGTGTTTTACCAAAATAGATCTTCTAAGGTGGTGGCAGGAGACTTGAGGCATAGCTTGGGACACAGAGGCACCATGGGATAGCTGGAGCCTGTTCAGAGCCTTGTTGTCTTTGACTTCACTGGTGTGTCCTGGTGCAGTAGTTGAAAGGATGTTAACTCTCTGTAAGGTCTGTTAGTGATCCTGGGTCCCTCATCAAGGCAGAGCCACATCACTGAACTCCTGCATCCCCATGGAGAGAACTTCTCTGAGGGGAGGATGAGCCCTAGTTATGTTGCCTGCCTGGACAAGAGTCTGTCAGTTGGCTTTCCCCAGGATTTTGACAGGACTATTTCTGGTTTTGGGTAGGAAGGGTTTGTACCTGTCTTCCCTGCTGGCTTTTCTCCTCTGGAATTTCCCTGTAAGCTCAGCACATTCACCTACACTTAGAGGCATTTGCTTACACTCCTGCTGGTGGTGGGTCATTGGCCTCCATGAGTGGAGGAGATGCCAATCCATCAGGCAGAGAACCAGCCCTTACATGGACACCTCAGCTCTTAAGAGTTTTCCACACCCTTTTAGTCCAAGCCTATTCCATAGATCAGTGTGGCTTCTGATGGAGCAGAGCTCCTGGGTTTTGCAAGTTTTCCCTGTTTTGGCTTTTCCCTGCCTGGAATTGTTGGTCCCAGATGGCACAGAAAGAGGTTTGAAGCTGTGGTAGGGTGTTCTTGGTGTGTAGGCAGCCTGCCTGCCCAGCTCCAGCCAGCACCATCTGACATCCACGGGCTGGAGGGAGCAATCAAACAGGAATGAGAAGTGTCAGTTGTCTCAGCAGAGTGAGTCCAAGTGCTGGTAAGGAGAGGATGAAAACCCCTTTAAAGACTCACAGAGTGACTCATAGCTCAGCGTTCTGCACGGTGTGGGGTTCTCTCTTTGTCTTTTAAAGTGCTTAATGGGGCATTCCAGAATGGATTGATCCAGCCAGTGTACACTAAAGGTGCCACTAAATGCAGAGCAGGAACCATGGGTATGTAGGAGCCCCCAGGCACCATGTGCATGTCCTTCAGCAGAGCCCTCACTGGGACGTTGCTGGTGCTTGGTAACGAGGACTACTGCAGTTGTGTTATGTTAAAATATTAAACAGAAATTAGTTTGCATTAGGAAGAGTTTGAATCGTAGGAGAAAGTAAACATAAGTGATCTATTGGAGCTATTCCTTCCATTTTCATGCTTTCTTCCAGATGAAAAATTGATATATATCCCTTGCTAGATATAGAAATAATTGTTTCTATTCTCCCATCAATAACCTGCTATTTTTAGAGGCTGCCTATGAAGGATTTTCCTATGTACAAAGTGTATATAAAGGCAGAAGTTTTTAATCTTAAACAACTGTATTAAAAGTATCCAAAAATCACTTGTTTGACATTTCTCTTTCAAGTTAGAGGGTTACTAGGAATAAAGAAATAGAAAAAGGGTTATAACTGTGTCCTGGTTATAGCCTTGAGATTATATCCTCCTTTATCACTTTGACAAGGAGAAAGTTTTCTCCAAAATTAAAATATTACAGATAAAAGGGGTTTTCTTTAATGAGGTGGTACACTCTTCTTGTGTGCTAGCACAGAGATAATGATGACTTCCCTCACAATGGGATACTGGGAGTCACTTAATGAAAGTTTGTAAAGGACTTTGACCAAACTAATTGCCTGAAAGGTGTTTTAACGTTTTAATTTAATAATTATCTTCTTCTTTGCTTCTGCAGTTCCCAGAGAAGACGTGCCCTGCTACAATTTCCAAACCTCTGAGCAAATGGATTGCTTTGAGAATGGAAAGTTTGGCACTCAGACAGGCTCCCAGCAGCGCCGGGACAGGTAAAGAACCCCCAGATTCTTCCTGTTCTGTGCTTGAAAACGTTGAAAGAGAACATTGTGGTAGGGAAAAGTGTTGCTGAGAGTAGAATGAAAACCTCAGAGCAAGTGTTAGTGTGGCCAGGCTGGGGGGAGTCCCCTCTCCAGGACTCCAGCCTCCTTTCTCTTCCCCAGCCAGAGGAAACGCCTCGGTTCCCCATCCTACAGGTAAGGATGGTGTCTTTTCTTCCTCTAGACCTGTAATAAGGCAAAATGGAAAACACTCTTGAGCTGCTCCAGTGGTGAGAGCTGTGCTAGCACTCTGGAGTGATTTTAAAGGTATCTGGGAAACCCTGCAGACACAGTTCACTTCTTCAGGTTCTCAGCCCAGGCATCCTCATTCTTCCAAAGAGGTGCAGAGACACTGGGAATACCGCAGGACTATTGCTGCACTTTTAATATGATTTTGTTTTCAATTTTGGATGTTTAGTGATACCAGAGGCTTTCCAGATGATTGCAGAAACAGGGGAAATATTAGAAATCTTAATTCCAGCAGTGCCTGTCAGGTGAATGAGGCTGACAGACCTGTCAAACGTCTCAGAAGGAAGAGGAAGCTGCTTCTGGAGTCTGAGGATGATGGGGAAAACGCAGATGAGGATGAGGTAAATGAGGTTGACAGTATTTTCTTCAAAGAGAACTGTGATGAGCAGGGACCATCCTGGGTCTCGGATGTCACTGCACAGTGACAGAGCTGAGGGAGATTCTGTCCCCATGAGAGTGGTCTGGGGCTGGTCCTGATGTCCATCAGTTATGAGAATATCTCTTCTGAAGTCTGAGGCATCACGAGGGCAAATAGCTCAAGTGAAGTCAAAGCCAAGATTTCAGGCTGTAACTTTGTAGGTGTAGTTACAGCCCTGTGCACCAAGTGCATGTCACAGTCATAAAAACATGTCTCCAAAAATGCTTTAACTCCAGTCAAGGATTATGATGTGATATCAACAGCATCAGACTGCAGAGTTTGATTGCTTTTTATTGGATACTTGCATATACACTCACTACACTGCTAGAACCTGTACTAGGGGTGGATGAATAGAAATACCCCTGGCCTGCCCTGATCCTTTCTTCACATCTTACTCCTTTAGGGACCTTTCTTTGTGCCAGCTGCACTCTGCTGCCATGTGCCAGCATCTCAGGCCTGAACCATTGTGTTTATATTCACATATTGCAGGTGCTTTTGTAATGCAGAGACACTGGGGTGGGTGTTGGTTGGTAATGCAAGCTGCAACTTCAGATCTCACAAACACTTTAGTTCATCTTGTTGCTCACCTTTTCCCTGTGATGAGTGTGAGATGTTTTCAGGGCTGGATGCTCTCAGAGGTACTTGCATTCTGCCTCTTCCCCTTTCTCCTCATTTGAAACTGCCCCCCCATCTCTGCTGGGCCATGTTGGGCAGGCAGCTTTGCATTTCAGATTTTGCCCTTTTTGGTTTGCTTTGAGAATTGACAACCCTGGGTGAATTAAACATGAGTTTGAAAACCACGTAGAAGAAACGTGAATGGCAATCTGGCTCCAAGTGTCACACAGGGAAACCCTGTTTTCGGGGGTGTTCATCTATGACAGGAGTTACTTGAAGCTTCTGCTTTCTTCAGGGCTTCATAAATGATTTTTTTTTTCTGTATCTATTCCCTGGCATAGATGGACATAAGAACCTCTGAAGGGAAAAGGAAACTGGAGCTTTCCAGTGAGGCTGCTCACGTGAGCAGTGAATCCTGCATTGCAGAAAGCAAATCCTGTGTCCTGTAATGGAGATTGGGGGCTGTGCTGCTCTTCAGGAGCCAGATTTGAATGAACTTCAGTAGCACATATTAAATAATTTGTAAAGTACTTTTGGATACTGCAGGATCAAAGTTATATATGTAAAATACCCTACTGATGTTCTTACAGCGTTATTGAAAAGGAAATAATGCTAACTGGTAGTCTGTTAGTTACATGTGACATCCTTATTGTACCTGCATTGTGAGATGATCAGAGGGAGGAAAAATCAATATTGCTAAACTTTTTTTTAACATATCTGTGTCTAGGAGAAGAATAAATCAAATAATAAGAAAAGCCGCAGAAACACTAAACCAATAAAACAAGGTGAGCTAAGCTCAGAGTCTCTTTTCTTTAATGTTTATAGATTTTTTTACTAGCTACTATAAAATGAATAATAGTAAACAGAAGAGGAAAGGACAGTAGAGCTCATTTCACATTCAGAGTAGCTTATTAGGTACATAACCCTCTTACCACTGTCAGTCAGAAATGTATTGGTGAGAATCCAGCGGCTCTGCCCGTGTGATGGGCACAGTGCTGAGGATCTAGGAGACCAAAGCTCACTGAAGACAATAAGAATCTTTTTTCCATTGGCTTTGGAGAGCTTCGTAGCCACAGCCTACAAATGCTAAAGGAAATATAACTTGTACTCAACGTGTGATTGATTATAGACTATGGGTTAAGTTTATTATATGCTTCAAAGGAGTTAGCCTGTGTAAAGTAATTTTCTATGTGTATGACTATGGTCCTACTAGAATGAACCCAGGCACCTCCCCAGATTGTTTTCATCATCTCTGTACTGGTAACTGCCTCTCTAGTAGAGGCATTGTGATATTAGCTGTTCATAAATATATGTGTATGTGTAGGACCTGTTGGAGTGGGTCCAGAGGAGGGCATGAAGGTGATGCAAGGGATGGAACCCCAGGCTGAGAGAGTTGGGGTTGTTCAGCCTGGAGAATATGACCCAGGGAGGTCTTCTGGTGGCCTTCCAGTATCTGAAGGGGGCCTAAAAGAAAGCTGGGGAGGGACTTTTTACAAGGGCTGCCAGTGATTAGCTGAGGGGTGATGACTTCAGACTGGAAGAGGGGAGCTTTAGATCAAAAATTAGGAAGAGGTTCTTCACTCTGAGGGTGGTGAGACCCTGGCCCAGGTTGCCCAGGGAAGCTGTGGATGCTCCATCCCTGGAGCTGTTCAAGGCCAGGTTGGATGGGGCTTTGAGCAACCTGGTCTAGTGGGAGGTGTCCCTGCCCATGGCAAGGGGGTTGGAACTGGGTGATCTTTCTGGTCCCTTCCAATCCGAACCATTCTTTGATTCTATGATATATATAAAAAATGTTTTGAATTGAATAACAATTCATTTGGTTTTTAATTTATGTTTTAAGTTTATTTCTGCAATTAAATGCCTTTTAGTTTATATCTAACCCCTTATTCCTCTGTGAAACATCAGGAGAAGGAATTATTTTCCACAATTTGAAGTTATTATATCTTGTTCAAACTTTACAGTGGCAACTTCCCACGGGCAGCTTGCCAGCAACCCGGGTGCCACAATTCCTTTGACCTGCAATATAATGCATTTTTTTTCAATGAGAAATGAGCACGTTTTTCCTCCTGCTGGAACTGGTCCCTGTCCTCCAAGGCTGGGTTACACTGCTGCCTTTGGGGTGTGCCAGCAAGACAGCGTTGGTGTGTACATGGGGGGAGAAGGAGAAGAGAGGGCAGAGCAGGAAGCATCTCAGAGAAACATTCATTTTTCCTCTTTGTTTTTGATTGCTTAGTTGCTCCTGGAAAAAAGAAGGTATGGAACTGGGCTTCCTACTTAGAAGCAGAACGGATGCCAGCTGCTCCCCTCAAACTCTTCAGAGAGGTTGGCAGTTTTCTCAACTCTCTTGCTCTGTTTTTCTCAGGCAACATCACAGGATTACTTGGTGGAGTATTAGAATCGCTCCATCACAGAATTACTGACCTGGGGGAGGTGGGATTGGACACCACCCTCAAGCCAGTTACATTCAGGAGTTGTTTCAGTGTGAGCAGGCAGCAAAACTCCCACGTTTGTTTCTAGCCCTGAAGCCCTGTGGAAAGAAGCATCAGCCAGGGGAGTCTCATCCCAAATCAGGGTGTAAAAAATGCTGGTTGAATCCCTCTCAGAAATAAACAATGAGTGTTCTGGTCTGCTGTGGGTAGCTCTGGATGAATGGGCTGTTGGGCAGACTCCAGGCAGCACTGGAGAGGGACAGCTTGATGTCTTTCATATGTCCTGTGCTTCGTCTGTGGTTGTACAACACCTCTTCCAGGCTTCTTCTGTAGACAACTGCAAGGCTGTGAACATCTCTCAGTGAGAACTGACTGTTTGTTACAAGGAGGGTGGAAGTAGTGTGTTCATTCGTGGTCTGATGCACTGAAGGTGGGAGGGGGTGAGCTTAGCCTTGGTGAAGCTGCTCCTCCACCCCAGTGCACCAACCCACGTTAGAAGTTCAGCTCCCAGTGAGCTCTTCAAAGCCAAGGGCTGTTGGCTCCTTCTGGAGTCAGGTGAGGAGGACAGTGAGGTACCTGCAGGGGATGCAATGAGCTGTTGCACTCCAGGTCAGATTTAAGTCTCCACTATACTGCAAATGTTTAATTAGGATTAAGACTGCAAATAAATGAGAAGCACAACTGTTTTCTGGGATGACTCTGTAAATGGGCTCCAGGTCAAACACCCCTTGCCCTTTTTACTGTTGGAAGGTGAGAAGTTACCTTCTGGGGCAGCCTGGACTGCCGACCTTGGGTCACCCAGGCAGAGGGATTTTGGCTTTGTCTCTGCCAGCCCTCCTGCATGGGGCTGTGGAGGGGGTTCTTTTGTTTGACTACAGCTCATTTCTCTATCTGCTGAAAGATTTGTTCATCACTAATGGCAGCAGGCTCATGGCTCAGTGTTTCTGAGAGATTAATTAAAATAACAAGTAAATCTGAAGTGCAGTCATCATGCCATTATTGATTTCTGTGCCTGTCTGTTAAAGCAGCAATCATTTAGTGAGAGAATTTTACTTTCAGAGTTGAAATTTTGAAGCCTTGAGTGCCTCTGATGACTGCTCTGCGATAGATTTTTATCTTTAGGAATTAAAACCAAATGTTTCCTCCTTCTTCCCCCTCCCAGTATCAGTCATTCCCACAAGGCCGAAATGGATTTAAAGTTGGAATGAAATTGGAAGGACTGGATCCAGAACACCCCTCTCGATTCTGTGTTCTCACAGTGGCTGAGGTATTTGCTCTTCCTATCCTTGATTCCAAAAGTCCTATGTGACATTAAGGATTGTATTTCAATAAAAAGTAGAAACATAATAGTGCTTTAATTTAGTGAGTGGTTAGGAGGAGTTCAAGGTGACCCTGGAGGAGTAGTGGTTAAGGATCTATACCTGAAATCCTCCAGTCAGATGTTTGCAGTTGTAACCCACAGCAGTGAAATGAGTAATTGTTTGCAATGGATAGTGCAGTGAAGCCTTAATTCTTGGTGTATATATAAGCAGGTTGAAATGCATTTATGCTTCTTCAGTTCTGTGAGATCTGTGTTGATCTGGTACAGACAGAAATGTTCAGTTGTGCTCCAGATACTGGTGCACAGGAACTTGTCCATGAATATGGGGTAAGGGGCCAGTGAAGTTACACTGAGCAGTTTTATTGTCAGCTGAAGTGAGGGAAGAGGAGCATAGAAACTAGGAGCCATAAATGATGAAAAACTACACTTTTGAGAAATAAATGAGATGTTAAGTTTACATTTATCTGCACATCCAAATGCAGAAGAGTGATTAGTGTTTTTCTGTCCCTTCTTTATGAGCCTTTGTGATAATCAGAGCTCCCCTGCTTCCAGGTACAAGGGTACAGAATGCGGTTACACTTCGATGGGTACCCAGACTGCTATGACTTCTGGGTGAATGCTGATTCCTCAGACATCCGTCCTGTTGGCTGGTGTGAAAAAACCAGTCACAAGCTGCTCCCTCCTAAAGGTATGGAAAGAGAAAAAATAGAATGGTGTACAAGAAACCATCAGTTCTACTAAGAACTGGTTGTCCTGGCTGGGCGTGTTTTGTTGGGATGGTGATTGCATTGTGGAACTCAATCTCAAATGACTTCAAAGGGAATCCCAAAAGAACAAACCAGCTTCCTTTTGATATTGCCAAAGACTGAGACTGATGTCAGTCAAAGCAGAAACTCTTTCTTGGATGAGGATGTAAAGCAAGGGGGCTTTGGGGGCTTGCTTCTTCCCTGCATCCAATTTCCTAGGAACGTTTGAAGGTTGAGATTAATGATTGGACTTTATACTGAAAAAGAGAGAGATGTTGTAGCTGAAATGCATAACCCCTGAAGATTGTGGAAGGGTGGTTACCATGCAAAGTTCATATTCTTCCCAGGTAATTTCCATTTCTGAAAAACCAATCTGAATGTAACGGGGCTGTGTGAGACAATCTTTTTATCTGTCTTTCTAGGTTTCAAGTCGTCAGAATTTAATTGGACTTCCTATTTGAAGAATTGCAAAGCTCATGCTGCTCCAAAAAGCCTTTTTAAGACCTTCAGCTCTGTAAGTGGTGATATTGAATACGAGATGTTTCCAATAGGTCTGATGCTAAGTGAGCTTTGACCAGAATATTTACATGTTTTTAATATGCTCCTCTCAGAGGTACAACCGTGGTGCAATCAGATGCAAGCTATTTCCTGCTGTGATTTATGTTTAAGATGGGAAACTAGTACAATTTTTCTTCCTTCCCCCAGTCACTGACTTTCCAAAGAGAGAATTTGTATTTCCCTTCCTCCTTAACACTGCAGGAAATGATTTATTCTACCATTTATTAAATGTATTACAACGGTCTGTTTTGCTGTGTCCCTACAGTCCAGATATTTGTGTCACTTTCCTCTAATTTAATCATTTCCAAAATAATTTCTGGTTTCCAGCAGCATACTCATGTACACCATGGGATTCATTACGAGGCTGTGGATCTTGAGCATTTTTCATCCTTCACCCACTGCTGGTTTCTTTTTGGTTGTTAGCCTCAGTTCCTGTGTAACACTCCCTCCCATTTCGTGTCAGCCAGATGACACAAAGTCCCTGCTCTGGTGGATTTGATGCTGCAGATGGACAGAGCACTGACTTCAGTAGGATCAGGGCCCAGCTAAGCAGCTCTGCTCTGCTTCTGACCGAGTCACCTGCTTTCCTTGGAGACTCTCTTAACTTTTACACCGATCAGGCAGGACCTGCAGCATTCACACCTATCCCCAGCCAACACACATCACTGCAAGGCATGTGGGTCTGTGCTGCTGCTGTGTACCTGGAGATTCTGTTTAGAAATAGTAACAATCATTGCCAGATCACATGGAAACCTTCTCTGTACACCTCTTGCTAGCAACTAAAGCATGCTTTGCTCTCTGGGTTTTGGGCTTGCAAGTGGATGCAGCAGATGAGTACAAGTACGCAACAAACGAGTTTATAAAGGTCGTTTAAATGGGCTGGCTTAGGCCGTGGCTGATTTCCCTTTCCTGATGTCCTGCTCCTCAGCCTGTCACACCCTCTGGTTTTCGTGTGGGGATGAAGCTGGAGGCTGTGGACAGGAAGAACCCTTCGCTGATGTGCGTGGCGACGGTGGCGGACGTGCTGGAGAGCCGCCTGCTCATCCACTTCGACCGCTGGGACGAGGCCTACGACTACTGGTAAAGAGAGCCTGCTTCTCACAGGCACCTGCAGGCAGCCTGGGGTTTATTTCACTCTTCCCTGAGGGTAATAGCTGATATTTAAACTGTAGTCACTAAAGTTGGGGTCTTAAATCTGTTTTCAAGCAGCTGAATAAGGACTTTGAGTTTTTACGGTGTGCTGGTTGCTCAGTGGCTTCCCCTGCTGTCAGCTGGCTCAGTGCTGAACCAGTGGGGTTAGTTTGAGCTGCCCAAGGAGTGTGAGAGATAAGAACTGTTGGAGGTGATGCAGCTGGCTGACTTGGGTCAGGTCAGGGAATGTTCCATTATCCATCCCTCTGGCAGAGCTGAGGGATACGTGAGCCCCACTGGTGACACCACCTGGAATCAGGGACATCCTCTCCCCCAGGACTAGCAGTGGGTGTTGGTGTGGGTTTTGGAAGCAGGCAGAGCTGAAGCCAGTGAAAATCTTTTCCATTTGCCTCAGCAGAGTTGGGCTAAGGCCCTGGGAAAATAAAAATGATTGGCAACATTTAGGCTTTTTAGTCCTCACCTGCACTGTGGTTGTTCAACATCTGAGAACCTTGATCCCACCTGGGGCCAGATGGAATGTTAGTCAAGGAGACATTTTCTCTTTTTGGCCTGTGGTTTCCAACCTACACGAATGGAACAGCTTTCTTTCAATTTGTTTGTGGAAGCAAGACATGCTTGTCAAGGTAGCTGTGATTCAGTGTTCTCTGTGCTCTCCCCCAGCTGCTTCTGTTTGTTTGGGTGTTTTTTCAGAGTAGGCACCTGTTTGGTGGCAAATTGGTCTTTTCTTTCTTTGCCATAAATTCTGGCTTTGCCATAAATGCAGAGCTTTGTAATGCTGGTGTTGCCACCTACAGGCCTTCAGATCTTGTTCCTTCACCATTGTAGCCTGTGAAGCTTTGTTTCCATGACATGTTTTGTTTAGAGCTTGAAACTTTTAATAGGAAACACAAGTAAACAAAGCTCCAAAGTACAGCTTGGCTGCAAACACACAATTTTTTTCCTAGATCTGAAAGACTACTTTGGTCCCTTCCTCAGAGCAGATGTGACAAGAGGGGCTGTCTCAAATTGGCCTGTTACCTCCTTTGGGAGCTCAGATGATCTAAACATGCAATAGAATTGGGAACCAGGCAAACTACCACTAGGTTTCAACTGGGATGAATGGGTAATGTGCAGTTCTTGGCAAAGACCTTAACAATAATTCCCCTTCTTCCACAGTCATGATGTTTCCCTTAGGGATAGGGGTTTGGGTTTTGTTTCTTTGCTTCCTTTGCATTTTAGATTGGATAATCTACATCCAGGCTGAAGTGTGGTTGGTACAGTGCATGTGGGCAGGGCTTTTTGTTGGTGTTTTTTATGAAAGCACCAGCCATTCTTTGTATTTCTCAACCTTTTAGGGCAGCTTGAATGCCTTGAAAACTTGGCATTATAAATTCTGAGGAGGTAATGCTTGTCTGTTACACCACGATCACACCCACTGAAAGCATCTGCTAACCCAGCAAAGGCATTTCAGACAGCATTTGAAATTCTGCTCTTCTTTTTGCTTCCAAATTGACTGGTGCCAACTTTCCCTCTTTGGTTCAGGTGTGAAGCCAGCAGCCCATATATCCGTCCTGTCGGCTACTGCCAAGAAACTGGAACCCTACTGACAATACCACCTGGTATGTTGAAAGTGAGACTTATGTCAAAAACCTGTGAGCTTTAGCTTCCACAGAATTGCATATTGGCAAGTTAGAGGTTCCATACAGTATTTTACTAACTGAACAATACTATTGTTCATGCTTTTTGCCACTGCATCTCATCTTGGTTTCACGGCTCTTTCAAAAAATGCAACAGAGTCTGGTAGCTTGTAATTGAATTGGATTTCAGAAGGGAAAGAACTCTGAAGTATTTGCAGCATTTCCTTTAAGGTGAGCTGGAAGAAAGTGGAATTGTGATCTCATAGGTAAGATGAAATCTCTGGGAATGAAGGAGTAACTGAAGCCACATCTCGTTCTGCAGAGTTTAAATTCAGTAAATGAAGAGAACATGGGCATATTAAAAACCCACAGAACCTACAGGAAAATCAGTGTTGTTTTCAGGCCTTGGAGGTGCTTGTTCACCTTCAAAATAACAAAAATCTTTAAAATTATGTCTGCTGTTTGTTAGATCAACAGCCCCAGAGCAAGAGTTTTTGTAATTACTGCGTATCAAGGTTAGCAGAGTAGGTGGCACTACAAGATCCCTCTGCACTGGAGGAATTAGTCTCTGTGCCTTTGCTGGAGGTGCTGAAGGGGTTGTAAACACTCACTCTTCAGCAACACTGCCTCTGTTCCTGCTCCTGGAACGTGCAACAAGGCTGTGGCAAGCAGCTCCCCTGCTCATAGCACGGATCCTGTGTCCCCTGCCATCAGTTCTGAGTGCTCTGCTGAGAGGTGGGCGTGCAGACTGTCCTGTGCATTCAGTCATTGCTCCCTCCTGCCAGAAGGAAACAATACTGAGGCTAAAAAAAATGCTGAAAGAGAAAGGGGAAAAAAAGTAGAGTAGTTTCTTAAATGTAGCTGCCAGGGAGAGACATCCCATTGTTGTTAGAGTAGCACACTCATGTAGGTGTCTGAGATTATAGTAACAGTGATGGAGCCTTTTAGCTCCAAACTGCTGGTTTTGCTCAGCTATGGGTGAGTAGGTAGCAGGAGATGAGAAGTTCCTACAATCCTGCAGGCACTCACACATAGAATAGTTAATTAAACAGGGAGTCAGTTTAGTGATGCCATTGCATATCACAGAAACCTTGTAATTGGCAGCTTTCTCTAGAGAATAAACATGGATCAGGCTGCACAGAAATGAACTTTTCAGGTTTTTCAGGTCAGGGTCAAAGCCCTGTGTAGAAACTGGGGGAACTTGCAGTGTGCTGTAAGTGTGTGTGTGAATAACCAGACCACTTCTCAGCACCATCCACTGTCTGTGCTAAGCCACCCTAACAGCCACATGTTACATAGCTGCTCTGCTCATGGTTGAGACAATAAATGTGGGGGTTTCTTACTGAAATGGTAATTCTCTGGTTTTTCAGGCTACAAGGATTCCAGTGACTTCTCATGGGGGAAATATTTGAAGGAAACTAATTCCCAGGCAGCCCCAGCAAGAGCATTCAAACTGGTTGGTGAATCTCTTTGATTGTCCTAGGTCAGGAGGGTGGGGGGGAACTGCTTCTATCTGCCCTTTCTTGCTAGGTGCTTTACTGGATAGTTGTTCACTGGGTCTGTGCCAAGAGGGGGAAACTGGGTTTTTTTACTTTAAGATCATCTCTGACTGCTGCTAAAACAGAGCACAGAGCAGACTACAAGGTTGGGGTTTTTTTTTAAAAAAATAGCCATGAAAAGCTGTCTTGGATTTATGTTGGAGTTCAGTGCATTTATCTGGAAGCTCACTGTGAGCAGAAACAAACCTCAATAACTTCATTTTAAGAAAAAAACCCAAAACATACTTTAAAGTTGGATTTTTTTTCATGAGTGGTTTCTTCCACACTGCTGGCTCACCTTGCTAAACTTTGCAATATCTTTAAAAACTTCTCTGTGCCATCATGACACCTGCCTTGATTCCTTTTGATGAAGTTAGCACTGCAGGTTAATCCCTGCTGCCCTCCTGTGTGTTTTGGTGGTAAGCTCTTTGAGATTGAGGAGGAAGAGCTATCAGGGAGGCCTCAGATAAGGAAGGTCAGACTCCAGCCTGACAAGTTTGATAATTGCTGGATTTCAGAGGGTGTCCACGTGAAGTTGTTGTAGGTTACAAGGTGGGTGTCAGGGAATGGTTTTGCCTCTTCAGAGAACTGTAAGGCCACAGCTGGAGTTATCTGCAGCACGGTTCAACTCCACAACATCCCTTGGATTAAGGTTTTCCAGAGCTGGGCAGGCAGGATCATGAGTGAAGCTTGTCAGTAGGACACATTTGTTGCCCCCAGTGTAGGCTCAGCCTTTTTCTCAGCCATCCTCCTAAAATCCCAGCAGTGCTGGAAAACAGGAACCTTCAGAATACAAGAGCAAAAGAATGCAGCAGTTGATCTTCTACACCATAAAGGAACAACAGAAGTAGTTTTGTGGAGACAGATATTTTGGAAAGATAATAAAACTCTTATTGATAAAAATAGGAGATGTAGCACCATCTACTTGAAAATCCCAGTCTGAAGTCCTCAGTAACCTCTTGTTATGGCTTTCTGTCCTCAGAGTTTCAGAATAGAAAATGTGTTGAGAAATGTCCCCCAAAGATTGCAGGGCTTTGCTCAGGACAGGGAGCTTTTTCCATAGTGAGAACTCCATGGTTTGGATTCTTTCCAAGTAAATAGTCTTCCCAAAGGGGAATGTAACAGCCTTGGCTGACTCTTTGCCCCTTTTACCTACATCTCTGCAGCCATTGCTTTGCTCCTTCAGGTATATGGCACAAGGGCCAATTCTGGCTCTCACAAAACTCCAGAATATTAAGTAGCATCCCAGACTGTGTTTGAAAATGAGACAGAAAAAAAGGCATTTGATCTATCAACAGTTAATAGAACCCTTTCAAGATCAAACCTTGTTATTTTTCTGGCTTGGCTGGTCTGAAGTGCAAATACATGGCAGAGTTATTGATTTTTCCTTTTTTTCCCCTTTTTTTTTTTTTCTAGTATTATTATTATTATTCCAGCTAGCAATTACAGGAAATCAGTACATAAAAATATGGGTTGAGAGCCAGAACAGACATTTCTCACTGAATTAGTTTTTAACAGTTTCCAAGAGCTCTGTTATGTAGCCTGGAGACACCAATCCTCAGCCCAAACAGCAGATCTTGTGCCTGGATTTCTGCCTTCTCCTCCACCCAGCACCACAGAAGGAGGCATCATGGTTGTCAGCATCACTGTTTCAGCCCATTGTCTTGGGCTGTCAACTCAAAATATTCACAGGCCATTGCCAAAAAGGGCAGCAAGACTTAAACAAAGAACCCAGCTCATCTTCTGGGCAGGAGTTTGTTCTGTAGCACTCCGGCTCCTTCCTCACGACAGACAAGGTTGGCTGGTTCAATAAGATGCTCTTAAAACTAAAAGCAATTTAGATTGTCTGGCTTCTGGTGTGTTGTGTGGCTGAAAGGCTGTGGGTAAGTGTCTGCAGACAGGTGAAAAGACCAAAGAGAAACCTGGGAGTCCCCTGAGCTGAGAAGTGTCCCTCCTTCCCCACCTCCAGCTACTAACAGTAGGAAGGGTGAGGAAGATCACGAGGGAAGAGTGATTATAATCATCTTTTCATTAACCTGATCTTGTTCAAAGACACAATTTATCATCTCTTGCTAAAATCCTGACCTTTGTGTGCAGAAGTGAGGAAGGATGTGTTTTGTATGAGTATCCAGTGCTCCATAACCTCCAGATGAGGAGGTCACAGGAGGAATTTGCAGTCAGTCATTTAGAGATAAGTGGAGGAATTGTAAACGCTGTCTGTTACTCAGAGGTGTACATCTGTGGGTGCTGTGAAGGGCAGACATCAGCTCAAAGGACATTCTGGAGCTTTTACAGAGTCATTTGACCATGGAGGTTTGAGAGAAAGGGTGAGCTGGCAGCTGCAGATGGGAAACTCCATCGACTGGAGCTGCTGTGGAGTGCCAGCAGTTCTCAGCAGTCCTTGTGAGCAAGCAGATGTAATTGTCATCATAAGATGTAGGTGGTAACCTGCTTAATGAAGGTAGCTCTGTAGCATCAGATGCCAAGAAGGTTGTCTTGTATATTGTAGTGCAGAGAGACATCACGTGGTGCTGAGATCCAGGTGTGAGACAGTGGTGAGCTGGCTGCTGTCCTTGTCAGATCATTTCTCTGCTGTCAGGCTGTGGAGTCTGTGTGTCAGTGGAGCTTGTGGTTGGATCTGACCTTTCTCCTGTTAGGGAAGTGCCTCTTGCCCTGGCTGTGATATGCTCCTCTGCTCTGAGAAAGCTCAGACTTCCTTTGGAGTGGTTTTGGGCTGCTGACAGACAGACAGCTTAATCCTCTAGGAAACTTGGATTGTAACCTCGAGTGAGATCAGGGGTCAGAGCTGCAAAAGCATTTGGATGGTAGATGAAAACTTCAGCACATCTTACTCAGAGCAGGTGACTAGCTCTGAATGCCTGGACTCCTCAGCATTCTGCTTCCAATCCTCTCTTACAGCGTCCTCCTCATGGATTCCAAGTTAATATGAAGTTAGAGGCTGTGGACAAAAGAAATCCCATCTTGATGAGAGTAGCAACAGTAATTGACAAAGACGACCATCACATTAAGGTATGACCTTGCTCCCAAGTGCAGAGCCCTTGTGCTGGGGAATATGGGTTTGGCAGCACAGAAAAAATACCCATTTGGGCCGAGGAGCAGCAAACCAGCACCCTGCAGATGATCCAGCCTACAGGCCTGCCCACTGGGAACAGCTTCTGCTGCTTTGTCCTGTTGAAGTCTGATGGAATTGGCTGGTATTGTTAGCTACTGGTTTAATGTGACTATTTTGAAATAACATTTGACAGCATAGTTTCCCATCTCTTAGAGATCCCTGTGAGTGAAGGCAGCGTTGATGTTCTGCTGGTGGGAAGCTACCTGACAGGTTTTTTTTTTCCCCTAGCATACTTAAAGGAAAACCCAAAGCAAGTTAAACCCTGGTACATGTGGGAAGTGGCTCCATTTGCTAGTGTGAATTTGTTACATAAATGGATTTTAACTCATTCTTTTCACAGAAATATATTGCCAGAAAAATCTGTTGTGCTTTAGCTGCTGAGAAATTAAGTACAGACCAGCTAAAGTGCAGGCTTCTCAGCCTCAGGTCTCCTTCCCAGTGGATGATTGTGTGGGCAGGAGTGGAGTTCACTCCCCATTACCCATTTAATTCTCAGTCACGTTGCTGCAGTTGCAACCAAAAGTCAAGTTTTGCCAATATCTATCAGTTCATATGTTTGCTTGAAACTTTGCTGCCGAAATCCAGTAGCCTCTAAACTGCAGTGATCCTCAGTCCCTGTTAACCTGACCTAGGTTTGAGCTAACTGTTACTAGTCTTTTCACCAAACTTGTTGGGTTTTGTGGTGTTTTGGGCCCCTCAGAGGATAAAACAATAAAATAGAGCAGTTATGTTGGCACTGATTGAGCCTTTGCCATTAGGGCAATGCTGGAACACCCCATGGTCTGTCCTGTCTTGCAGACCCTGTGATTTGACTGGGTCACCAGGATCTGGCTGCTCTGTAAAACACTGCTGAAGGGGTCAGGAAAACAAATAGTTACACTGGGCACAAAGGACAATTGTGCTTGACTGAAACATTGAATAAATCTGCCCCAAGCTGAGCGAGGTGAAACAAAGAGGAGGTTAAAATAAAAGCTGAGTCATGTCCTTAACTGTCTCTCTCACTGCAACTGTGTGCTTCTTTTAGATCCATTTTGATGGTTGGGACCATATTTATGATTTCTGGGTCGATGCAGACAGCCCTGACATCCACCCAGTGGGCTGGTGTGCAAAGACTGGACACATTTTGCAAGTCCCTCTAGGTAAAGTAAAGGACGTCGTGTTACGTCGAATCATTTCCTACATGCACCCTGCTCTTCAGGTGCAGGGAGCAGTTGGCAGAGCTGTTGTAACTTCATTTTCCTTGCTACCAGATGCTGTTGATCAAACAGGAACAGGGGGACAAACTTGTCCTACTCCAGGCTGCCACGGGATCGGCCACGTCAAGGGACCACGCTACGGAGCCCATTATACGTATGTATAAGAGCTCTTAGAAAGGGTTCTGCCTGCTGGAGTCTCACTCCTCCCCTTAATAATAATGATGATGATGATGATAATAATAATAATGCAGCAACAAGCACCTGCACTGCAATTCTCTCAGGGTGTTTAGTCTGGAAATAGTTATAACTGCAATTGCAGCTCCCTCTTGTGTCTAAACGTGCTGTTTGGTCATAAATTCTGTGTATACCAGTGTCATCATTCCAACTGCAAGGCAATCCAGTTTCTGCATTTCAACAGTACTGGAGGAATTTCTTTTCTTCAAGTAATATGCCCAAGAACAGCATGTAAGGAAACAGTTAAAGAAGGAGAGACTGGGGGTAGGTTATGAAAGTAGAAGAGTGAGGAGAGCTAGTTCATGTTTTTGCTCTACCATTTGATTTCTTATGTACTCTTGGAAAAGGAAAGTTTTTCTTGATTAATCAGTTTTGAAGAGCAAGAAAACAATCTCAGATGGGAGGTCAGAAGATCCAGTAGGATATAATGTTGTAAAGGGCTTTGAATTTTTCAGAGTGAAAGTTGCAGGACTCTCTTGTTTCATGAAAGTTTGTTCAGACAAGCAGGTTACAGAGGAAGAGCCTCTCCTCTGAGGTGACTCTTCAAAAGCATGACTTTTCTTTCTGCTTCTGCCATGTAGTCCCCTGCTTTCCTGCACCTAAAACTGGGTAATAACATCTCCCAGAGTGTTCCTGGCCTCCCTTTTTCTGGGTTTGTTGATGGAACTGTCTGCCCATGGCTGGTAAGACTGTGTGATTGAAAACATGCAGTGTCATCTCTCTTCTTTTTCTTTAACACAGATTAGTTGGCTGCCCATATTCTGATGTGAACCTCAACAGAGAAAACCAGTTACCAGACCGCCTGACTGGGGAGAAACCTTCCCCTAGCAATGGCATCCAGAAAGCCAAGAACCTGGAGACTCCTCCCCCACTGCAGCTGGGAGCAGAAGTCTCTTCTCAGAAGGAATCTCCACAATCCAGGTGAGCTGAACCTGTTTCCTGGACAGGTACTGGGGAGAAAAACCATTTGGCAAGGCTGAAAACCACAGGACCTGGTAGAGAAGCAGCAGAGCATTGAGTTCATCTCTCTGTAATATTGACCCATGCCCCAGACACTCTTAACACAGAGCAGTGCACTTTTATACTCTCAGATGCCTTCATAGGTTTCTTGATTCCTTAATCCTGCTGCTCTGGTAACAATCCAACCAAGGAAATTGCATTCAGTCTCCATAAATATTTCCTTGCTGTTTCAGTTTAAAATACATTCTTTTCCTTCATTTCCTGTCCTAAAACTGTCAAGAGAGGTTATTTTGCACTATTAAACTGTAACTTCAGTCCACCCCAGAGCTGGCTGCGTTACGTGGGTAAGAGGAATGAGTATTTATGTACCACTTGATAAACAAGTTGAGCTCCTTCAGATGGTTTCTTTTCTTACATGAAAATCTTGTAATTCAGTAGCATTGAAGCAAACCATGTGTTAGTTCTTGGACTGTTGGAGGCAGCTGAATGTGTCATGGGACAGACCTGGACATGAAGGCTTTTGTTATTGCCACCCTTAGTCTCTATGAATCCAGCCTCATTAGGGCAAATTCCAGCAATACTTTGGTGTTGGATAATATATGGCCAAGAAGGCCACCAGCATCCTGGCTTGGACCAGCACTAGTGTGGCCAGCAGGACCAGTGCAAGGGTCATCCCCCTCGACTCAGCACTGGGGAGGCCACCCCTCAAACCCTGGGTTCTTGGGCCCCTCACTCCAGGAAGGACCTTGAGGGGCTGGAGCATGGCCAGAGAAGGGCAACGAAGCTGCTGGGGAAGGGTCTAGAGCCCAAGTGTGGGGAGGAGCAGCTGAGGGAGCTGGGGGTGCTGAGCCTGGAGCAAAGGAGGCTCAGGGGAGACCTTCTGGCTCTGCACAGCTCCTGACAGGAGCCTGGAGCCAGGGGGGGGTCGGGCTCTGCTCCCAAGGAACAAGGGACAGGACAAGAGGAAATGGCCTCAAGTTGCCCCAGGGGAGGATTCACTTGTCCCTGAGGAACAATTTCTTGCCCTGGAGGGTTGCCCAGGGCTGTGCCAGGCTGCCCAGGGCAGTGGTGGAGTCCCCACCCCTGGAGGGGTTTCCAAGCTGTGGAGATGTGGTGTGAGGGACACGGGGCAGTGGGGACCTGGCAGTGCTGGGGGATGGTTGGACTCCAGGATCTGAAAGGTCTCTCCCAACCAAAACAGTTCTGTGATTCTCTGTTTCTATATGAAGGTTTATATGCATTTTAAAGTTCATTTATTTGCTTAGATTTATAACATTTTCAAGATGTCAGGCTCTCTGAGGAGCTTTGGGATCCTCCCAGAATAAATGACATTCTAGAATTGTAATTTATTTCTATTCTTCCAAGTATTTAATTTCCTGGTAGTGGGTGGTCTGAATTCAATATGCAAATCTGAGGACACCCTGCTGCTTGTCCTTCTTTGGGCAACTGTGCAGCTCAGTTTATGCAGCAAACTCAGGCGTGGAGACTCTTCAACATTACCCAATCTTAAATCTCTTGATTTAACCCTAACACATGCTTCAGTGGGTTAATTGTAGATCAGAGCCTCGGCCCACAGGGCTGATTTCTGTCACATAACCTCTCTCAATCCACGCTGAAGGCTAAAGCAGCACTTTGGTGGGCAGTGGAAACCTGCTGCCACTAGATGGTAGTTGTTGCTTGCAGGGAGCAGCCAGCTTTGCTCTCCTGCAGGGAAAGGGAACAGGGGATGTCAGCTTAGCTCCTGTCATTTATCTGTCTCTTCAGAAAATCTGCACAAGACACTGAGAAGTCATGTGAAAGCAGCATTCACAGCCTGCCAGAAAAGCCTAAGAAGACTCGGAAGAGAAGCTGGGGAGTAGAGGATTCCTCTGCAGACCCCAAAGCCAAAAAGAAAAAGTAACTGAGACTTGTGATGTATTCTCATGCATTAGCAGTTGTGCTTCTTGCTGCTGCTGCTAGATCTGAACTCAGTGTAAATCATGACTTAGAACAGCCCAGTTTCATCAGGGATTTGCAGTGCAGGGTTTTAGAATGACATGGTAAATCTCCTCCCTTCCTCCCATTATTTTGGGCCCTCTCTTTCCTGCAGTGAACTCAAATCTGAGTTCTAGCCATGAATTTAATAGCACAGTCCTTAGCTTAGTGAGAGGGCTCAGGGAAGGAGCAGTGCTGTCACTTATTTTAAGAGGGAAAAGTTTTCTGTTCCTGTAAATCCCATTAATCTCTGTGTAGAGAAGAAATGATGTCAATTTGTGTGTCTTCTGAAATACTTTGTAATTGATGCTTTCAGGCTTCAGGACTCGCCTGACTCTCTAAAGTTGAAGCTGGGGAAAAAGGAAACCAATGAGAAAGGTTGGTTGAATTTTATGTTGTTTCTTTTTCTCTGTGTGTGCCTAGATGTGCAATACACCCCAGTCACAAAGAGCATTTAAAACCTCACAGCTTTTTTTGTCTTTGATTCAGCAGTCAAGAGCAAGCACATGCTGGAGGTGATGGGAGTGGTAGTCTGTCTTCCTTTACAGTGAGGAGGAAGGGTAAAATCACTTAGAAGTGAAAGTTTAATACTTTGCAGAGGAAAGCCTCATATTTATGAACTGAAAGGACAGTTTTCACCATCTCTTGTGGCACTGTGTACTCTTCTGACGTGGTGAGGGGGTTTTGTTCCTAAGGGACTGTTCTGCTGACAGAACCAGCAGAGGTGTCAAGGGAGACTTGCTCAAAACCTGCCAGATAGTTTTAAGTTTCATCAGCTCCTTTCTTTAGACCCCTCTGGCTATTCAGAAACATTATCTGAATAATATTGTGTGGGGACTTTAAGGTTTTCCTCAGGGTGAAAAAGCAAATGAAGGACTGAATGGTAAAGTGATGCCTTTTGGGTGTTTTTTTTTGTGGTGTGTGACAGGTTAAGTTTTAAACACAGCTTTCTGCTATCACTTTAACAAACCATATGCTTAACTTTCAGATTTACTATAAAAAGCCAGTTCAGAGAACTGAGCTGACCAGGCTTTTAGGAGGATTTAACATGGTAATAAGTCTCCAATCAGAAATAGCTAAGCAGGCACAAACTGGGACAGGTAGCTAGCTTCTCTTGGTGGGTTTTTTTTAATACTCATTTTTTACCTAGTGCTGACTTCTGCAGTCAGAGCTAGAGCAGTCTGCCAGCTAGGAGCTGCAGTTGCAGCTGGCAGGGAATGCTGCCTGCTCTCCCCTCACATCCACCTTAAAGGGAGTGATGGGAATCAGTGGAGGGCAATGCTGCAATAATCCACTGACCTCTGGTTTCACGATTACCCAGAGCTTTCATCCCATCTACATTTAAATGATTAGAACCCAGCTTCTTTCTCAAAGGGGAAGTAATTTGGTTAGAGCATGGTTTGGACCTGTACCCCCAAGGATTTGGGCCTGGTGCAGAGGAGGGGACAGTCTGTGGTAGCAGCAGTACCAAATCCTTGGGCATGTACAGGACCTCCTGTGGCAGGGAGGTGGGGGCCAGGCCAGCTGACAGCCCCCCCAGGAGCAGTGCCCTGTGTCCCACCATCACCAGGAGCATCAGCTCCTGAACTGAGTGGGTTCTTACTCAGGCTTTCTGCTTTTTTAAATCCTCCTTTGGTCTGAGTACTAGCAGTAGAGCCCTGCATGTGATGCTGTCCCACAGCCTTTGGGGAGGTGGAGGTGAGTAAGGTGACACAGCTGGGGACAGGGGAGGGACCTTTCAGCAGTCAGGCTCTACCTCCAGCACTGCTTTCACTTCAGCTGCTGGGGAGCAGGCAAATCATACTAACTACATAGTGTAATTACTACAGGTAGTAATAGAATACTGTTTTCCTTTACACCTTCCACACAGCAGCTGGCACACCCCCCAGATCTCACACCCCAGCCTGCTGAGGGTGGTTTGTGCCAAGTGAGCAGAGCCAGCAGAGTCCAGTGGCCTCTGTCCTGCCTTCCTCCTGGAAGCAGGAACAGGATGGGAACGTTGTGTGGTTGCCAGGGGAAGGAGCCAGGCAGGCTGCACCCCCTGCACACAGCCTGCCAGGCTGGGGGGTGAGGGGCCAGCCCCCCTGAACCTCTGGAAAGCAGAGGAATGTTTCCCATCTCGTTTCACTCCTCTGCTTTGCTTCCTGTTGTATAACCAGGCAAGTCCCTGTAGGACCATGACTCTGCACTGCTGGAGTGATCTCATTAGGGAGGGGTGATTTCTGCCTGGCTTTTGCCTTGGTTTTAGAGCTTCTGTCACTTGACACATGAGGAGGGAGTTATGTCTGGAGGTAACGTGCAGCCCTCCTGGCCTGGGAGGCTCCTGGGGAGCCCAGGCCATGGGCTGGCACACGTAGGGCTCCTCACAGGCTGGCTACAGCTGGCAGCTGGAACCATGCCAGTAGTTCCCAGCCGAAGATGCTGTTACCAGAACTCCTCCACCTTGTCAATAAAACGCTGCAAGCATCTTCTCTGTTAGCATCATGACATCATTTTCCAGGGAAGAAGCTAAGGATTAAAGCCTTCAGCCTGGCAATCTTATCTTATCTCTTTTTTTTTTTTCCCTTTCTCCTTCCCGGGGGGTGGGAAGAACACCCTGCAAGCTCAGTGTGCCATGCAGCAGCCCTGCCTGGCTGTCTCCTCACCCTCCAGAGCATGACCCTTCCTCCTGCTTCATTGTCCTTGCTCCCACTTGAAGCCTTGTCTCTCTTGACCTGTCTCATTTCCTTTTCCAGACCCCGGGGTGGATCTCCAGCAGTCCCTCCACCAGTCCATCTTCATGCCTTCCCTGGACTCTGACCCAGCCCATCACCTCAATCTCTGCTGGGACAAGTACTGCAAGATCTTGCCAGAGGTCTCGGGCCTCACAGCCAAACTCGTGGCCAAATGGACTGTGGAAGAGGTGAGTTACCTGTTCCCTGTTTGCTGGGGGGGTGGGAATGCCAGAGCCCTCCTCTTCTGGAGTGCTAACTGGGAGACATCTTTATGTTCACTCCTTTCCTTCTGTTTGCTTTGCATATGCTGTAGCTGACTCAGCCAGAAGTTCTACCCAAGTCCCTTTATAAGGGAGGGGAAGGATCCCTGTTAACCCTCTGGCATCCACAGCTTTTTCCCCCCTGAATAAGATTCTCTCCCTTTCTTTTGTTTGTTTACTTGCCCCTTGATCTTTCAGTCCTCAGGCCTGAAACATGATTCTGACAGCAGATCCTTTGCTCTCTGCTCTCCCTCCCCCTCTCCTGCGACTTTGCTGCTGATTCACTTTTACACTGCAGACAGTTCCAGACTGCACTGTGCATCCCTGCTCCTCCTGCCTCTCCCTGCCCTGCAAGGAAACTGCCCACAGCCTGACCTGGATTCTGACAGCAGTAGCTGTGCTGCTGGGAGTCTGTCTCTGCAGTCCCAGCTCTGGAGATGTCTCTTGTAATTAGGGGGGGTGTAAAAAAGCCCTTATCTTTTGTGTGCTGAGTAGTTAGTTTTTGCCTCGTTGCCTTGGGCATAAATAATATTTGTACCTCCACTGGGGAAGTGGTGACAGTTTAGATCCTGGCACTTAATCGCAGGCTGCTTAATCCAAGAGAAATGTGCTGTAATGTTGTGCTTGTGAGGATGTAGGTGGTCTGCAGAGCAGGAAAAAGTGATGCTGTTCTTCAGGAGGATCTTCAGAGACTTCTAGAAAGTGCATTTTCCCTAAGTGCTTCTTAGATAAATCCAATCTTGGCTTTGTTCTTTGTGCTGGAGTCTCAGAGAGACTGGTGGGACTGGAGTGTCACAGGGACCACAGCAGTTGTGGAGGGGATAGAGCAGTTGGTGTTGCTGGTCTTAAAACAGGGTCCTTTTTTGTTGTGGTGGTGTTATTATTGTCATTATTATTATTTTGGTAGTGAAAATGTGTTCAAATGAAATTCATAGTAAGGAGGAAAAATTTATCTCTGAGAGATTTGCTGTTCATATCCTTTTGAGAAAGCTTCCAATGGTTTTTCCAAAAGGTCTTTTAGAAAATCAACAAAGGCAGAAGCAGTTAATCCTCTGACATGAAAATCAGTAATTTCTTTTGGATGGAACACGGAGGCTGGTTCATGGAAGAACAGAGGCAGGATACAAGCCAAATAAAATCTGTCCTTTGCAGTTGACCTTTAAAGCAGCTGTTGGGTGAATTTAACTGGGATGCTAGTTTGATAATGGATGAAGGTAAGCAGGGAGTGCAGGGTGTGAACACCAGGCCCTGGACAGAGCAATTCCAAACCCCAACCGTGCTCTGTGCTGGAATCGACACAGGGAGTTTCAGCTGCCCATAGGGGTGAGACTGGCACATGAAAAAGATCAGTCACAGCACCACAATGGACTGGCCAGAGTCATTATGGGGTTTGTCCTGAATTCAGTCAGGTGGATGTGGTTTGGCAGATGCTGCTGGTTGCAGATTCCCCCAGGAGCTGGTCTGGTGTGTGTACAGGCACTCGCAGGTTCAGGGTGTGCAGGGAAGTGTAGCCACAGGTCTGGCAGATGAAAGCAGCAGGACTTGGTGTGTTAGTGAGTCCAGCCCAGCTCCCAACATCTTCCTACAGGGCAAACATTTGCCTTTGGCTTGTGCTTTGAACCCTGCTGCACAGAGGAGACCATTCTGCTGATCTGAAACAAGAGCAGTGGGGGGGTGAAATTCTCCTTTGGTTTCAGACTGAGGAACTGTTTTGATTTTATAAAACCCACATTAAGGAAAAAAAAAATGTTGCTTTAATTCTCTGTTGGTTGAGAACAGCTGAAGTAGCAGAGCAGCAGCAGCAGAGTTTAGGGGCCCTTGAGCTAAGAAACTCTTGGTAGCACTGATCAGTCAACAAGAGTAGTTACTTTAATGCAGCTTTTGTTATTTATTGAAAGCTTCCTGTCATGTTTTCAGAGCACAGCTCCTGGAGGGTATTGAGTCACAGAACATTAATACCTGCTGGGGCTGTATTGTCATGAGTTAATCCTGCATCAGATACTAATACCTTTGGGGGGGGCTGTCCTTGGGCTAGTTGCTCGTGCCTTACCAAATCCCAGTTAAACCCAGTTCCTCCCTGCATAGGCTCAGGGGGGTTGGCAGTTCTGCTGGTGTGAACGGGGTGCAGGGTGAGGCTCCATTCCAGCTTCACCAGAGAGGTTTGCCAGTACTGTGGGGTTTCAGTGTGGTACATGCCTCTGGGATTGCATCAGCACCTTCTCTGTGGGGTGCCTGGACTTTCTGAGGTGTTCTCAGAATTACAGCAAGCCTTGTTTCAAGCCCTGTTAGCAGTTTGCAGTTGTAGTGTGGGACACTTGCATCACACAGCTCTGTGAGCACTGTGCTTGTTACCAGCAGGAAGGCTCCAAAAGCCTCTGATCCATCTGATCTTTAGCTCACATTAAGGATTGATCAGACCCCCTCTGAGTCTTCTCCAGCTGAACAGCCCCAGGGCTCTCAGCCTGTCCTGGCACAGAGATGCTCCAGCCCCTCAGCATCTCCAGAGTCTCCCCTGGACTCTCTCCAGTAGCTCCTTGTCTCTCTTGACCTGGGGAGCCCAGAACTGGACCCAGTACTCCAGAGGTGGCCTCACTGGGGCAGCTGAGATGGTCAGGAGACCCTCCCTTAACCTGCTGGCCACACTCTTCTGAATGCACCCCAGGAGACCATTGGCCTGCTTGGCCATGAGGGCCCATGGCTCGCTCCTGGACAACTGGTTGTCCCCCAGGACTCCCAGGTCCTTCTCTGTGGAGCTGCTTCCCAGCAGGTCACCCCTCCCCTGTCCTGGTGCAGGGGGTTATCCCTCCCCAGGGGCAGGACCCTACACTGGTTGAACTTCATGAAGTTCCTCTCTGCCCCGTTTCCATCCTGTCCAGGTATTCTCCACTTGCATCTTCCTTCCCTCTCTTTTCTCCATTTCCCAGAAAGCCCCAGGAGTGCTGCTGGTTTAAAAGGCCACTCCTGTGGCACAGGGTGTCTGTAGCTTGACTTCTGGGACAGATCAAAGGCCTGTCACTCGGTGTAGGTGACAATAGCCAGCAGCAGTTGTGCAGGGAAGGACACAGGAGCAAGGCAAGCTCAGGTCATTCCCCAGAGGTTTCTGCCAGCCTCTTGATATTAGAGACACTAAAGGGCCCTTGTTGTCTTGCCCTAAGGGGCCCAACTGTCTCTGAAATTCTGGAAGGTACCAGATACTGCAGAAGGATTTTAATTTGTGTTCTAATTATCACAAGGTGAGTGAATTCAACAGGAAAATATTTTATTTGTTTATAGTCAGAGTTTACTCTTGTGCAGCAGAAAATTTGGAGCAACTGTCCTATGGAGAAGTGGGTTTTAGGGGCTCCCTTTGCAATGGAGCTGTCACTGCTAGGAGAAGATAAGGGCAAAACATGAGAGGGATGCTCTGCTCTGGGATTATGTAACGGAGCCAACGGCAGTCGGAGCCACTCACCAAAAATCAGCCCCTGCCAGGGTGGAGGAGAACCCGAGGGCACTCTGACAGCTCCCTGCCTGCGTGGTCGGGGCTGGGGGAAGCAGGAATATCACTCAAGTGGTGGGATCAGCTGGAGATGCAGTGACAGGGCTTAGGAGAGCATCTGACAGTCCTGCATTCGAGGGAAGCTCGTGTTTGACAGTGACCCCTCCTCACTGTTTGTTTGTGTTGGTGGAAGAAATGTCACATCTGCTCTAACTCAGATAAATGTGCCTCATGGAACAGAGCTGTTCCTGCAGGGGAGCAGCCAATTAGCAGGAGATGTTTGGTCTGATTACGCCTCGATATACAAATCTTGTCTGAAGCAGGGGAGCTACAGCTGGAGAAGACAATACATATTAAGTTATCCTCCACTGCTTCAGGACTGCTCCTCGTGCTACTGGCTGTTACATAATGTAATCCAAGGGCTGCTTGCATCTCTCCGGGGAGATTATTCCAAATGTTAACAGATTCCCTGCTTAGAAAGGTTTTCCCTCATGTGGAATGAAAAATTAACTTTTACTTGTTTCATCCTGTTGGTTCCCTGAGTCCTGTGCGCCCACCAGGGATTAAACAACCCCCAGACTCCTTTCCTTCCCAGCTCCTCTGCCTTCTGTGTGGTGGTGAGCCAGCAGTGCTCATTCAGTTGGTTCATCTTGTCTCTTAAAGGCATGTCATCACATGGAACTGGCTCAATCCTTCTCCCTGCTTAATTCTATTTTCCAGCAATAGTGTAGAGAAAGTGAAGTCGTGGGTGGGTTTGGAGTTGCACAGCCACACACAGCTTCTAATCTGTAAAAATATTGTTGGTATTTTATAAAGATCCTTTGGAATGGTAGAGAAACTGGACTTTTAGTGATAAATAGTCAGGAGCTAACATGGAAAATATTATAGGGAACCAGAAAGCACTCCCAGCACCAGCCCAGTAGTGGTTTTTATACGTATCCTTCAGTAGTGGGAGAGTTCTAAGTATTAAGGTTTTACAGATTCTTGCCTACAGAATCCAGGCAGGAATAAGTCCTTTTCCCTCAGTGTTCCCATTTTAATCACCTGTGTTTCTCTTTTCTCAACTGTCACCCCAGGTTGCAAACTTCATCCAGCGTTTACCCGGCTGCAAGGAACAAGCCTCTGTTTTCAGGGATGAGGTGAGTGAGGGGTTTTGGAGGGGGGGGTTGGAGCTGTCGCTCTGGAGTTGGAGCACAGACATGAGCACACTTGTCATTAGAGAGCCTGTGGCATTTAGGAGGCAGCTTCAGCGTGGAGCTGAATTCCAGCGTGGCTAATTGCATTCTGCTGCTTTACATCTCCCCGAGCGTATGCTCCACATCCTGCCTTGGACTCCTGTGCAGCCCTAAAGATGTCCTCTTGGAATGGGGCAGTGATGGATCGTCTGCTCCCTCTGATGAGCACATATGCCTGCTCCTCCTGGTGGGGCTGCCAGTCCTAGGGCTTCCCAGGAACTGTTCCTTCCCCTTCCAGGGGAGGAACAACCCCGTGCATCAGCACAGGCTGGGGGCTGATCTGTTGGAGAGCAGTTTGGGGAGAAGGACCTGGGAGTCCTGGTTGACAGCAGGGTGACCACGAGCCAGCAGTGTGCTCTGGCAGCCAAGGAGGCCAGTGACATCCTGGGGTGCATTAAGAGGAATGTGGCCTACAGGTGGAGGGAAGTCATCCTCCCCCTCTGCTCTGCCCTGGTGA